TCGCGCCGTTCCTGCTGGCGACGACTTCCTGGAGGTGTTCGATGACGTCGTCGCGTTCCGCGGTCTGGCGCCGTAGCTCCTCCAACTCACGGCGGAAACCGTCCATAGTGGCGTGGTCAGTGCCTCCGTCGCCCCCGTCTCTGGGGGACGACCGTGCCCGTGACGGGCGGCCCGCTCCCCGCTCAGGCGTACGCACTACCGCCCGGGAAGGCCGCCGTGACATGGAGCGCCCATTGGACTTTGCTGCCGCCGCGGCCCTCGACGAAGACCGCCCAGCAGACCTGGCCGCCCCCCGCGCACCAGTCCGCCCTCTTCCTGCCGTTCGCCCTTGGCGCGACCTCGTTTCAATAGCCATCTAAAGCGGTTACAACATGCACGACCCGCGGTTTCGGAATGCTCAACATTTTGTTGCCTCACAAAATGACTGGTGAACGTGTGTGTACATGCAGTTGTTTCGACACATGCTCGACTGCGGGAATCGCCCAAGGCGACACCTCGAGGGGTACTGCTGTTGTGGCAACAAGCTCACCAACCACGTCCGTCACACACCATTGATGTGTGTGGTTCCGGCATATACCCTGTCTGCGTGGATCGCTCCTCAAGCGACAACCCTGGTGCGTAATGCTGTTAACAACAAGCCTACCAACCACATGCGACACACACTATTTATGTGTGTGGTTCCGGCCACAGGTACTCTGTATTTATGCGTGAATCGCTCCTCGAGCAACAACCTTGATGAGTAGCGCTGTTTAACAAACAAGCCTACCCACCACGGCCGCCACACACTATCTATGTGTGTGGTCCCGGCATTTATGCCCTCTCTACACAAGCGTGAATTGCCTCGCAGGCAACAACCCCGGTAAATGGCACTGTTGGAACAACGAGCCCACGCCCACGGCCGCCACACACTATTGATGTGTGTGGTTCCGGCATGTGTACTCTGTATTTATGCGTGAATCGCTCCTCGAGCAACAACCTTGGTAAGTAGCGCTGTTTAACAAACAAGCCTACCCACCACGGCCGCCACACACTATTTATGTGTGTGGTTCCGGCATGTGTACTCTGTATTTATGCGTGAATCGCTCCTCGAGCAACAACCCTGGTAAGTAGCGCTGTTTAACAAACAAGCCTACCCACCACGGCCGCCACACACTATTGATGTGTGTGGTCCCAGCATTCATACCCTCTGTGCACAAGCGTGAATTGCCTCTCAAGCAACAACCTTGGTAAGTAGCGCTGTTGGAACAACAAGCCCACCCACCACGGCCGCCACACACTATTGATGTGTGTGGTCCCGGCATATGTACTCTGTTGTTAGGCGTGGATCGCTCCTCGAGCAACAACCCTGGTAAGTAGCGCTGTTTAACAAACAAGTCACCCACCACGGCCGCCACACACTATTTATGTGTGTGGTCCCGGCATATGTACTCTGTATTTATGCGTGAATTGCTCCTCGAGCAACAACCCTGGTAAGTAGCGCTGTTTACCAACAAGCCTACCAACCACGGCCGCCACACACTATCTATGTGTGTGGTCCCGGCATTTCTGTATTTATGCGTGGATCGCTCCTCGAGCAACAACCTTGGAAAGTAGTGCTGTTGGAACACCAAGCCCACCCACCACGGCCGCCACACACTATTTTATGTGTGTGGTTCCGGCATGTGTACTTTGTATTTATGCGTGAATCGCTCCTCGAGCAACAACCTTGGTAAGTATCGCTGTTTAACAAACAAGCCTACCCACCACGGCCGCCACACACTATTGATGTGTGTGGTCCCGGCATTCATACCCTCTGTGCACAAGCGTGAATTTCCTCTCAAGCAACAACCTTGGTGAGTAGCGCTGTTGGAACAACAAGCCCACCCACCACGGCCGCCACACACTATTTATGTGTGTGGTCCCGGCATATGTACTCTGTATTTATGCGTGGATCGCTCCTCGAGCAACAACCTTGGTAAGTAGCGCTGTTTAACAAACAAGTCTACCCACCACGGCCGCCACACACTATTTATGTGTGTGGTCCCGGCATTCGTACTCTCTGTATTTATGCGTGGATCGCTCCTCGAGCAACAACCTTGGTAAGTAGTGCTGTTGGAACAACAAGCCCACCAACCACGGCCGCCACCCACTATTTATGTGTGTGGTCCCGGCATATGTACTCTGTATTTATGCGTGAATCGCTCCTCGAGCAACAACCCTGGTAAGTAGCGCTGTTTAACAAACAAGTCTACCCACCACGGCCGCCACACACTATTTATGTGTGTGGTCCCGGCATATGTACTCTGTATGTTATGCGTGAATCGCTTCCAAGCAACCACCTTGATAAGTAGTGCTGTTACCAAACAAGCCTGCCACCCACGGCCGCCACCCACTATTTATGTGTGTGGTTCCGGTGTATGTACTCTGTTGTTAGGCGTGAATCGCTCCTTGAGCAACAACCCTGGTAAGTAGCGATGTATAACAAACAAGCCTGCCACCCACGGCCGCCACCACTCTGGATGTGTGTGGATCCGGTATGTGCACTCTGTATGTACGCGCCACACCCTATGTATGCGTGTGGTTCCGGCATGGATCTCGGTGTCGTGAATTATATGTGGCACTATTGATAATCAAACGTTTCCACCACCACAGCCGCCGCGCACTATTTGTGTGTGTGGACCCTGCATTGCTGTAACTCTATTTCGTAATGCCTGTGGAGCGTAGGGTAATTGCCCGAGTTTAACATCCCTTACTAGGTATGTATCACTGTTGACAAGCGCTCCCCCCCTCCCTTACCACCGCCGCCAAACACTTTTTATGTGTTTTGGTTCCGGCAGATTTGTGTCTGCGTGAATCGCGCTAGACGACAACCCTGGTAAGCGGCGCGTATCTGAGACCAAATGTGAACCAGATGATTCCATGTTACGCAATGCACGTGCATACTGCTACTCAGAGCCTCTGTGAGTCGGATTCATGACTTCCAGCATAATGCGTATGCATATTGTATGCACATCCACAACGGCCATCAATTGGTTTTACCAAACAGCAATTGGTTTGTATTCGTGCGCTGCTGGGCTGTGATCATTTCATGCATGCAATTATGTCGTATGCCAGATGATCCGTATATCTCAGCTGATATGTCTCGGCATGGTATCAGTACACAGCAGCCCATCATCCAGCATGCCACACCGAACCAAGGACCCTGGTGATACAGTAGCGTACTTTGAACAAGTAGACAACCAAAAAAAAATTGTTTCCATGTGTTGCCTCGTGATATTTCGGTGTGTTGCCCTCGTAATTGACATCCATCTCAGCTTGCATGCACTGTGCCGTGTATCCGCGACCATCTCTGCGCCGTAATGGCTACGTGCCTGCGAGGACACCGGTCGCGTTTTGTACGTCAGCTGGCGAATTGGCGTGTGTCTCCATGTATGCACCCATGCTCCAATTAAAATTCCCGCCGCCTGCGATCACCCCAGCAACCCAACGGCAGAGGTGGAACAATCGCGACTGGATCGCTACCAGTATTACATCCAACGTGCATCGGATCCTATCGACCCACACATATCGACCCACTCGTACCGTTCAGTGGTGTGGACACGCGTCGGTACTCCCGGCGTTCCTCTAGCACCGCGATGGAGCAGCGCGCTCCCTCGTACAACTGCTGCTGCTGTTGGGCGGCCCTCTCGGGTCCCGACGGCTCGCTGATTGAAAGACCAAACTTGTTTGCCGCTCCTCCAGCTGGCAAACCACTCGAAGCCCTCACAGTGTCCACCTCGCTCCTTGTCTATGCGTTGCTCTCTCTAGACTAGTCCTCGTAAGACTTTGTGTGAACACCTAGCTTCGATAGAGCGCCGAGGTGGTGGCTACTCCCCTGCTCCCGCTTGGGAGGGGACCCCGTATTTCCGTAGCAATTTATGCATACCCTAACAACGACGTTACAAATTCGACTGCTTTCAATAAACCTTGATTTGTTTCCGTCTGCTCCTACAACAAATCTCCCCTTACCGTAACGTGAATCCGACGAGTTTTGATCGAGCACCAATCTGTTTCACCGTTGGTATGCATCTGAGATCAAACCCTTGTTTCCGCGAGTGGTTTTCGCAGTATCACAACACTTGTGTGAAGAAGTAAAAATACTACGAACACAACGTGACGATCCATTGAAAAATGGTGTCGATCGCTGAAGAAATAGGGCCCTACGGAAACAAGAATCTCAAAGTTCACGCCTTCATTCTTGCCCATGACATTCATATCTAAGGCTTTCGGTGTCCCAAGTCCCGGAGTGAAACCTTGTCCCGACTCCCTCTAAATAATCAACCCGTTTCGCAGTCGCAACCTTATGTGACAATTTCACTCCTCCTTCCAATTCAATGGCGTCCATATCCAAGGTTTTCGTTTTCCAAAATACGGTTGTGAAACCTAGTCCCCACTCCCACGCACATTTCTCCCCCGTTGAATCGCTCACGAAGCATTGACACAGGCCAAACTCTCAAGAGCTCGCCACATTCGTAAATGTGTACGCTCACTTCATAGACGTACAACTACATGTGCAACGGGCAGCGTAAATTTGACGACTACTTTGCGACTGCTGAGCACATACATCCGCTGGTCCGTGCGTTCTTTCTCGTACGAACACCCGTGTGATTTCTTTACGGGTGAGATTTAGCCATTCTGCTGCGGACGGCGGAGGTACATGATACAGTGGGATGTAAACACCCTGGATAGAGTGCATCCCTGGCAATGGCCACGGTGTAGGAACAGTGTGCAAAGGCTCACAGAGTGACGGTTGACACTTGTTTGTAGACCAGATAAGGTGGTTTGAATCGGCGTGAATTTGCCCGAAAGGTAAGAAAGAGGAAGGGAGAGTCCTGAGACTCGCAAGAATCCTGAAGGACAGTGAAGAGACCAAGGGCCTTGGTAGATTAAGGTAAGCAAGGAAAGAGAGAGTGAGAGTGGGGGCGAGCCATCCATCCTCGTCACGGAAAGAGGTTACAAAAGGGCTATTCCAACGTACCGATCGCGGTAGTAGACGGTTAATTCGACCGATATGACAGTCCTAGAATGTTCTACTATAAACGAAAATGGTCCAATGTAACATACTCCAATGGTTCAATTCAATATATAACCCGTAGGTGTGTACAATCAGATTACTGTCTACAATGACATCATTGGTGAGAACAAGACCATTCGACCACTCCGCATCCGTGACGTCCATACGCCAGAGATCCCCGCCTTCTCCTCTCGTGTCCTTCACCAAGAATCGTCAAACCCCACCCACACCAGACCACTTCACTGAGTCATGTCTTGCGACGTGGTGGGAAGACATGCACATGCGTATTGGCGGCGTCGTATGTATCAATAACCGTTTGCGGTTAACAACAGGCACCATGTCGGCACGCACAGCACACATACCCTCCCCCGTGCCGCCGTGAAACGTTCTATAAGCATGGGGGAAACCAATACACCCAAGCGTATCGCAGGCGATAGACGTTCGAACGGTGGGGAAAAACTCACCTCACGGCAGCACCCTCAGACACAAAAAAATCTAGTAGTTGCTCATCAACTCTTCATCATGACCCTCGCTCATCACTAGACACTCGCCCATCACTAGACGCTCGCTCATCACAAGCTGGTTGACGTCTTACACCACTGGGCAGTTGTCGTTGTCGCCGTCGAACACGTCCGGGCAGAACTGGTTTGCAGAAGATGGGTTCGAAACGAACGAGGGGTCGATGCGGGACAGATGGAGATTTGTTCAGTTCACGCCTTGTGCCCCCGCGGCGGGATGTGCTTGGTTGGTTGGCCTTGTTCTTAGACATGGTGAAGAACTGACACAACCTATCGGGGTTTCAATTCCCGAACTAGGCCGCGTGTTGTTAGCGGGTATTCCATGTGCCAGAGAGAGAGACCCCAGATACTCCTTTCGTCAGGTATCGCATTCTTTCGGGCTAAGGGAAATCAGTCGCGGTTGTATCGCCATGTGCGAATGTCGCATTACCCCCAACATCAAAAAGACAACCGGTACCATCTGCCTCCACCCCCTCCGCCGTATCCGTGGTTTGCGGTGTGTTTGTGTTGTCTGTAACCCCCAAGAGAAGCGGGCACACAAGGGTGCCAACATTCACGCTCTCACATCGGCCCTGTTGTCTTCGAAAACGGTGTCATCGGGGAAAGTAGTAACGGACGCGGCTTCGCCGTTCGCCACGCTGCCATCGTCGGTGTAGATCGCTCCGCCCTCGTAGGCCGCGTTCTCCCTGAAAGTTGTCGAACCCATCAGCCTACAAAAGAAAGCACATACCGTAGGCAGCACGGAGCAACGGAGGGAACAAGTATCGCATTATATGAGACCGGGATGAACTCAATCGCAAGAGAGAGACAGACATGCGTTCGCAAGTGAGACGAGGGGCAAGGCCTACGACAGCGACGGGAACTTCATGAGCGCGATTCCGAAAAACGAGACAGCGAAGACTCGATCTCATCAGGACTATGTCACACGAACCAAAACCGTAGTCGATGCAAGATACCACCCACCCTTGGTCCGATTTTCAAAGCTCGATGATCACCCCACGAGTAATAGCGTGCCATAGCCAAATGTGTTTTCGGAAAGCTCTCGACGACATGTTTCCATCGTCGACATGTACGCCCCGCTACTCTTTCGGGTGAGGACAAATCAAGCTTTGGAAATCGGTTCAGGGGGTGTGATACCTTACGTCACCTACGGTAGTTTGGTCACCCATGTATATTCGTCCAACCACCCCAAACACGCTTGTCCCGCCAATGGAACCCCCTCGACCCGCGCGGTTGACCCGCGGGAAAGCTCTTTGCCCCACAAGTATCTACGTGGAACGGGATTTGCGACCCTTGACGAAACACCGACCAGTGACACAAGCACGTTTTCAAAGATTGCGATATTGATATTCGTGTTGAGGCGCCTCTCAAGGATTGTTGGCTACACTAGCGTAGGAGGTAGTGGATTTTCTGACCCCATGTTTTGTTCGTTCAAGCCATCGTTTTGTCTCTGGCTGAATGTCACGCCGTAACACAAAAAATATCGCTGCAGGCTGAATTTCCAAGTAGTACACGTCAGTGAACCAAGCTGCAGACATTGTGGTAGGCAGGTGCGACCCAAACTCAGAGTTGTCTATCCCGTGGCGAGTGGGTTGGCACACGGGTCACATAGATCTGAACTATAGGTAACCCGGTACGGATGGGCCGCTCCAAGACATCGCCGGGTGAGGGAAGGTCATGAGGGATTCGAAACGTTGCGGGCCAGCACAAGCAAGGAAAAAAGTGCAGAAGTGAACAAAAGTTGGTCGGCACCGGACCTGATCCGCGGCGTTCGATCTGTCTGCCCCCTGGGGAAAACACCCAACATGACTAAACACGCATTGTGTTGCCGTCACTCACGTGACCGCCCCTTCATTTCCGTTGTAAATTGCTCCACCGAGGCCGCCGTCGCCGGAGCCACTGGCCCCGTTGAGTTCAAAGAGGCTACCGGCGTTGATGTTGACGACGCCGCCATAGTTCATCAGACCGCCCCCGCGCAGCTGTTGACGTTGGCGACGGCATGGGAACAACAAGAAAGCAGGACACACCGTAAGATGTTTCAAAATGAGACCGCCGGAGGGCTGGACCACATGCCACGTTATCTTGCGTCACGACAGGCGTCGAAAAACAAAAAAAAACAAATTGGGAACCGTTTGTGGTTGCTACTGTAGTGTCTAACAGTTGTTGGACAAAAATCATCACATGAAACATATCTACATGAAAACGAAGTCTCTTGCGGCGGGAACTGCACGTCAGTGCCGGGTGTGAGAGATAACCTACCCCTCAAAGTCACCTGTAACATTTGTCCAATCAGGATAAGTTTTGAATTGCGAGCACAACACAACTCACCAACAAATATTCGCCACAGTTTATTCATTTTCTACTAACGTATCCATGTGGGTTGAGGCTCGTAAGCTGACTCATTCCATCCCGCAGGTCCAAAAGGTCTGTTGGACTTGACCTATATGAGAGGACCACGGCAAGTACCACCACGGCAAGCATTTAGGTAGTTTGACACTGCAAAGACGCTAAGCTTGCAAACGCAGATTTGGCTTTGTTACATTCATCCCTCGAAACACTACAAGGAGCCTGTGTAAAAGCTCAACGAATCATACTGTGACGGCGTCGTCGTGTGTAAATTAGACATCCAAGTACCTCGTATGCACTGTTTTCGGAGAAAGTGGCCATGCTGTTGAACGTCATTTTGCCGATCGGTGTCTGGTAGATCCCTCCTCCGTCCTGCTCAAGACGACAAGGAGAAAAAGCATTAATCGTCGCCACGATTAGCATTCCGCAGTGCTGTGTGCTTTCTGGGGTGCAGGACACAAAAGACTGGGAAGAGAGTTCGCTGAAGCAAGACTATTTTCTCGCGACCTGCGTGGTACTGAAGGAGTACCTCATCAAACAATGCCAAACAGCAACGGATGAAGAAACAAGAACGACAACTTACGGAGGCTGTGTTGAGGGAGAAAAGGCTTTCACCGTCGACAATGATTTCTCCGCGGTTGTATATCGCTCCACCAAGACCCTCGAAGAAGCCCTGTATAACGGCCGCCGCCACATATTGACAGCCGTGGGTCAGAGGTCATGGGTGGGTCGGGATGGGCTCCAGTTAAGATTTAGGCTTCTAGCGATGGGAGGACATACCAGCTGAAACCAACCGTTTCGCCGAGGTTCTTGGAAACCCACCAGGCGTTTCAAAGTCTCCGGGGTTTTCGTAAATGTATTGGTTTCAAATGGAGGATTAGCATGTTGCCGTTGCAAGACCGCTGTGGGCCGTGATATCGTGAGATAGACTCACCCAACGCGTTGGTCCAAGGTTGCAGGTGTAACGTATGCGTGCATCCGCCCTACTCGATACTTCGATTTAGGATCATACAGCCACGTATCTTCGCCCAACTCGAGCGCCTAGCATTCAACACCAAACTGTCCCCGATACCCCCCGTACTTGTGTGACCGTGCGCAGCACGAAGCACTCTTTGTCCCAGCCGTTGAACGGAACAGATCAGATCATCAAACGCATGCCATCAGACCTAGAACACAGTTTCTGCATAGGCGAAGATCCCATCGTACCAGGCGAGCACACACCATCTCCGCCTAATACTCGCGCGAACTCGCCTCGGCCTCGTTGTCCTTCATTGTGAGCTTGCTCTTGAACCAGATGGTGCCCGAGCCGGTGTTGGAGATTGCCCCGGCCTTCCCTTGCTCGACGGAATCCTCGGTGTGGACCGCGTTCCTTTCGAAAGTGGCGTCCCCCTCGAACGTAAGCGTCCCCTGTAGTACGGAATCGAACGTAGGCGCGGATGCACGGATGAGATGAAAATGAACGGAGTGTTTTGAGGTTGTATAGAAGTATGTACAATTCCTCGAACACGCACGGTATTGCCATATTCGTCGGTTACTCTTGTCTACTCAAGTGGCATTGTCCGGCTGTTTGTGCGCGCGTGCCAATTTTCCGTTTCTCCACGCATCCGGTTGCTTTGCAATGTCGTTCGACTCTGTCGGTGTGCTCCAACAAACAGTAGTACTCACATCGTACTTATACCCGCTGTGCCTGCTCTCTCAACACGTTGGTCTCCATTATCTAAACTACTTCGAAGCAGTTGAATATTGACTGATCCGAGCCAAAAGTACCGCGAAAATTGGACGCAGCACAGTCTGTAGATTGAGATAGTCGGCTGAAACCCCCGGAAAAAAGACGGACAAAGCGTAACTTTGTCCAGCGCGCGCAGGAGACGTGAACACGAAACGTTCCGGAGCATGCGCAAGAACGGTGCTAAAGAAGCTGCACAAGATCGCCTGGCCCGCGGGGGAGAGCCCAACACCGCAACTACAAATGCTGCCCGATGATGTCTATGCTTGTCTGTACACCTCGTGTGTGTGATGTTTGTCAAACAACACCTCAAATCCTGTCCATCCGCCAGGATGGACATATCAGCGCTGTGGAAGCCCCTACGCGGAACGTGCACAAAAAAACTCAACCCAAGGGACCTTGGGGCTAGGGAGGGCCCTATGTGGGAGGTTCGAAGTGAACATGAAAACAATGACCAACTCTCCCAAGGACGACCGTAGATCAACGCGCTATTCACATGGCAGACCAGAACGATGCAAGCCTGCCATGCACCACCGGGCAAAGACAGTGGACTGCTATATCAAACAAACAAGCACTTCACCATCGGCCACCCCAGGACATGAAATTGTAGTGTCCCTCGCCTGGCCAGTCCTTGATAAGTTGCACGGCCGTCATTCTCCAGTGTGGAGCGGTGGCAAACGGGCGTGCGCCTCAACCAATCGAGGAAGAGGTCAAGCACTCGCCGACTGTTCACCCGACGATGGATCGGGGAAAAAACGATATGATGCGACAGATGGTCCCACCTTGTTGTGGATTGCACCGCCCTTCTTGACGACGTAGCTCAGGCCGCGTCCAGTCCTCTCGCAGCCGTCCCCGCAGGACACCGCCCCGAGCTGTTTCACTGCAACGGAGTTGTCGCTGAACTCCGACGTGCCCATGAAGGTAGAGGTCGCCCCCTCGGCCACAGAAAGGACACCTCCGTTCTTGACCTGAAGATTTTCGCACGAGACAGGATCCAACAGAATCAGTGCTGCACCCGGAATCACTATGTGTAGCCCTCGAAACACCAGTAGAATGAGTTGAATACTGACCTTCTCAGTGCAACCTAACACGACGATTGGTTCCTTGGGGGCGTCGAAGTGCCGGGCAGTTGAAACAGAGCAAGGACTCAAGTTCTCCAAAAAACATCGCCACTGCAAAGTTTAGAGCTTGTCTTTGTCTTGCTCACCGCAGCTGTTCTCCTACAGGAAACTACCGTAATCGGGGGGTGTATGCGGTGGCAAAAACCTGGCCCGTCTGACTTGCGTGGGTTCATCAGATGCTTTTCGGCTTGCGTTCCAATCGCGATTCGTTACCTATAAAACAACCGGCAATGTAAAGATAGAGCAGACAGGCTTTGGGGCACCAAAAATGACTTGCCCTAACAAATGCGTCTCTTACCGTGACGTAAAGAACATGTCCGGGCGGTGGAGTCGGCCGCTGAGTGCACACTACAATTTCAGAGCGCAGCGGGGCTGAATGCTCCAGTGAGGGAGTTCGATGGAAGCATACCGTACAGAGGTAGCACCAGCCCGCTGCAATAGTAAGAAAAAATGACGAGAAAGAAACAAAAAGTATTTTTCCCCATTGAGTAAAAGTGTCGTCCAAGGCAGCAGTGTGGGGGATTGCGTCGGTAACGGCGCGAACACCAGTGGACCATGCATGGTGTTGGGCCTAGATTTGCGGACTTCTTGGACCAGAGTTGCAGCCTTCGACAGGTCCGGGCTCGGTTTCTTTCTTTTCGCTTTCCCCCATCAAGCATAGGCTACCGTTATACTGAAGTATACCGTTGGAAGTAGGCTCGATGACCTGTGGTGTAGAACCTGAAAGGCTCGTAACCTGTTGGGATGTAACCGCTGGATTGGGTGTATCCCTGGTAATGGCCCCTGCTGTATAATAACAGTGTGCAGAGGCTCACAGAGTGACTGCTTCCAGATACGGTGGTTTGAATCGGCACTTAGTTGACCGAAAGGTAAGAAAGAGAAGGGGAGAGTCCTGAGACTTCGCAAGAGTCCCGAAGGGACCTTGAAGAGACCAAGGGCCTTGCTTGGTAGATGTAGGGAAGAACAGTGCTGCGCGGCCATAACAAGAGTATGAGAAACAAATCTTCCAACGGGAACGCAGTCCCCGTTGAAAACCCCTCTGATCAGTCGGGTCGCTTGGCAACGGACATCCACCCCTATCGCCGGCTCTAGAGGGCAGACGAGAGGCTAAACTGTTCAGTTTTCAAGAGCAGTACATGTAAAAACGATGCCAGGGCACACCAGGGTATATTTTGTACGTCCAGTGGCGCACGGAAGGGGGAAAAAATGGACTCTAGCTACAGTGTACCCTCATGCGGCTGCTCCAGGATCAGGGAGGTAGCTTCACACGCGCGAACCGACCTCCGCGCGAGGTTGGTGTCTTGCAGTCTAATCTTGCTGCCGCCATATACCTAGGTTGTTTGGCCACCTAATGCAAAGGTTTGATGTGATTGTGTGTGGCAGGGGATAAGCATGGTGTGTTCAAGACTCAAATTTCAGGAGAGCCCATGCCTTGGGTCCGAACGCACGCTCTTGCATGTTGCGCATGCACATCCACTGGATACACCCTCCCCCCAACATACGATGGAAATGCCCGGTGCAATCACGACAGCTCAGGGTCAGGCTATCACAACAAGTTTCAGCTCATTTGGGCTTCAAGAGGGCAAGTACGACTGTCTTCAAGTTCAATTTAATCTCGGTGCTTTGCCAACAGACGAGCCAAACATGACCGGGGCGCTCAGGTACGTGCACTCAAGACCATGCATAAAGAGTTCAACGCCGCAGCATTACAGAGCCAGGATGAATATGCGTAGTTAAACAGGTTTTAGTCCGTCACGTTCTCAGGTGCAAAACCCTGCCCGTACAGAGGATCAGATCTTAAGCATAGCTGTCAAGAGACAAGGAAGAGCCCACACTACGAATAGGTGTGCGCCTGCGTAAGCTGTACGTGTAACGTGACAATATGTAATTTGTGTGGTACACCCTGGTCAGGTATTTAATCCATGGAATAACGGCCGGCATAGGTCGAGCTGCTGCCAGATGAACAGTGGGAGAGGTAGGCGGGGCCAACGGGCTTGTGGGATGAACAGCCCCAAGCTCAACCGGGTACGCCACCGGCGTCGCCTCGGAACCAGCCTGGGAGCCCTGTTATTCCCGGACGCGGGGGTAAGCACCCAAAATGATGCCTTCACCAGCTTACGGAAGGCATATAACCCCGCGAACTCCAGTGGTCGACAGCACAGGAGGCGACGTCACAAGTGAACGTCCACGAAGCGTGAGCAGGACAGAGGGCAACCTAGCCACCGAGTTGCGCACCCCCTTCGCCCCGACAAAGCGCGACGCGAGAGATTCCGGTGCGCTCGTCCGTCGGACGGGAGGAAAGACCCGGTCGGGCAGGAAAAGCAGGAGGAGGCCCTCTGATAGGGATACGGGTGGCCTGCCCGATCTTGAGAGCAACCTCACGGAGGAGGATTGCTACAAGCAGCAGAGTGAGACGAGGAGGGAGGCGTCCGCAAGAAAAGATCGCGCGATTGCCGAAGACGAACGGCGAAAATCGGAGGCCTGGGGAAATCACCGCATTTTCTCTCGGCGTAGGAGTCACGGCGGGAACCCAAGACAAGCCGGTTATCAGCCAAGCAAGCGGAATGCGGGTAGGAGACTCTCTGCCCCGACGATGCTATCTGCAGGCCAACCAACAGGCAAGAAGCGAAAAAAGGCGTGCGGGCGAAAGGAATGCGGGTGGGTTACACACAACCCTCGAGTCGGGCTGTGACTACCTCCCGGCAATTTCCGGGCTGCCGCTCGACACGTGGTGGGTACCCGGCCTTAAGCGCGGCCGGACGGAGGGTTTGTTTGAGAAGCCGTTGTTGTTCTTCGAGGAGCAGGACGGCACGTGGGCCGTGGATATCGACGGATGCGCGACACTTTTGACGACCACGTTTTTCTACAAGATGAAGCGGCGTATGGCAGTGCTCATAACTCCCGCCCAGCTGCTCGAAAGCGTCGACGGCGACGTGGACGACTTCGTGAGCTTTATCCGCTACGCCATCCTCCAGCACCCTAAGAAGAAGACGACAGCCACCTGTCCATCGTGTTTTTCCTTGCGCAAGCAGGGAAACGGGGTAACGCCATCTTCCGGTACTGGCAGAATGGCCTGAGGGAGACCATGCCGGCGACAGAGAGTTTGCCGACAAAGGATGGGGTGTCGACCCACCAGGAAACGGGAGCAACGGCGACGAATTCACAGCCGAGAACTGCGTGCTTTGGTTGTCCGAGTAATGCTTGCATCGGCCCTGACAGAAGAACAGTCACGCTGGCGTGTGGTTGCAATCCGGAGACGGCCCTGTACAACAGGTGCGGGTGCAGGGCCGGAAGTTCCCGCTCGCTTGCGGCAGCAGAACTACGTCGGGTGGCGCCGACATCCGTGCGAACCGAGGGGAGGTCTGCCTCCCGGCCTACGGTGGGTGCTCCTCAAACTGGGCCGATCGAGGGTTACGCCCGACCCTAACTACCCGTCGAGACTCGACTACGCCCATCCTCGTGTGTTGCCTTGGCACTCTTTCTCGCCTCGAGGGGGCAGCAGGAATCGCACGGAGCGGAACGGAACGACGTGGAGGCGGGGACCCTGCGAGCAACGACGTTTCCTCCGGCGATGCCGCGGAGTCGAAGAACGCAGAGCTGGAGGACCCCGAGTCGGACGAGAACGGCTACGGTTCGGTCGGTGCCCTAGACGATTTGATGAAGTGGGATCGGGCGAACCTGGCTCCAGCGGTGGGAATCTGACGGGTAGAGCGAGAAGGGCGTCGACCCGGGGGGACACAGATGGCGGTGTTGCGGATCTCGTTGACGACGTCTGGAACTGAGATCTGGCTACGAATACAGGCAGGTGCATGTAGCGTCCCTTGAGGGACTTGGCTTGGGGTTGGGGATGTCGTGACGGGCATTCTTGCACGTCAGATATCCACATCGTAACGAAAGATCTAAAACCGGGGTTGTCTTTCTAAGGGTGCGTGTGATCTGATATATTATAACCCATGTTTCAACGCCATGTCTTGCGCGTCGTTGTTGGCGGCTCAACAGGTTCGTGCTTCACTTAGGTGCCGTTGGATGCATTCGACAAATACGACGACCCGGGGTACGAGATTATTAGACGTACGAACCGAAGGCTGACCAGCCGGCTAGAGTGCGCGTTTTCTCTAGACCAATTTTCGCACCTAATTTAGGTGCGCAGGGAGACAGACCGACGGGGGGAGAAGGCTTCAATTGTTTTCAGCCACGCTGGGTGTCCGTGGTTTATTGGCATGGCATTTTCTTCGCGTTTTATCGGCAAACTGCCTGAAACCTATCGGGACGAGGCCGCAAACGAGCCTGTGTCGTTTGTACTGACTGTGCATAAGTTCTTTGTTTTATCGTTCTGTTCGGGCATGATGTTTTGAGACGAAGTTTGTATCATCTTGGTGTCGTTACATGAGTGGGTTGGCCGTAGGTGTGCACGCCTCGAGGCTTGTTTCTTGCACTGAACGCTGTGATCAAACGTTGTACCGGACGCGGCTGCTGCGCGCTCTCTCGCTTGCTCGTGTTCTTGTCGCAAAGAGGGTCGAAGTGTTTTCGAGCTCACGCTCCCAACGTACCTGCTTGCTCTAGCTTGACCTCTGGCGCAGTTAATCTGAGCAACTAAACTTGTGCGGTAAGAAGAGCAGCCCATGGTGTTTGATGGGTTTGGGCAACTCGGGGGGGGCGGGGTTTCGTGCAGTGTTCGTGTGTAAGTATTTCCTCGCGTTGTCGGCATAACAAATGCTAAGTGCGTATTCACACGGGAAAAAATACCTCAAAGTGTAGCAGGTAGGCCGACCGGTGCCTGCGTGCGATATCAGATAGCGCAACGATATTAAGACCAAAAATTTCGCTGTTGGTGTAGCTGCCGTTTTACTGTCGCTACTCCGTCCTTCTTTATCTTTATTTTCTTCGGGATCAGGAGAGTGGTGCAGCTGGGCGAGGGTTATGAGTCAACAGGCGCAAGCATGTGCGGTGCAACAACAGCAGCAGGAGAGGGGGGGGCACCCCAACAGCAATTGCAGTTAAAACCCTAGCTGACGCCCTTCAAGAGTACTCTACCTGTGGTTCGTCTTGCAGCACAATTCCAAGTGCTGTACATGCACAAGATCAGCAGCTAACATGATCAATGCTCGGTGTTGCCGTCAGTACGGCAGGGCATAAGCATGGTGCCTGTATGCAACCGCAAGAATCCAACTTCATCCGTGGCTACCTCTCGATCCTCTGCACTAATCAAGTTGAATTGTTGTGCAATGTACTCTCTGGCGCTCAATTTATGTTGCCTCAAATATTGGCGGCGGTTGATCACGTGGTGGGCACGTTCTCGTGCTTTGCCTCTTCCGCGGGTGCACAGCACCGTGGATGCGCTGGTTGATACGATTTTCACATTTTTGTGGGGAGGGGCTGCGGTTTGCGCCAACAACTTTGAAGCCTGCAGCGGACAGAATTTGGCAAAACTTGGTTCCCAAGATAGGTATTGTAGTCTACTGCTGTGAGCCTTTTACCGTTGCGTGGATGTACGCCGGCCGCGCTGCTCTTCTGTGGAAACTGATATTTGTTGTTTTTCCGCAAAGAGTGTGCGAAAAAGAATTTCTTGCACACCTAGGTCTTCTTCTTTGGTAGGATTATTTGGGGGGCGGAGGGTACGAAGTGACCGTCCTCCGCCCCCTCCCCGAACGCCATACTAAATCCTATATAACACCAGACCATGCTGATTCCTACTGGTATATATGAAGGGGCACCGTGCCTGTGGGGGGGGGGAGTGGTACATCTGGGTGCCCGTAGACGTGTGCGCTCTGCCGCGCTCGCCGCACCTTTACGCTGTTTGGCGTACCACACCTAGACGACTAGAGGGAGAGCATGATCAGCGCACCCTCAGGGGGTGTCATAGGGCTAGCGCAGGCTGTTGCGGCGCAAGACTATAGCCAGCAGTGTTCTCGGCGCGCATCGGAAGAACTAAAGTCGGGGTCCAGCGAAGAAAGGGAGAAGGCAGTGTGAGGAATTTGAGGGAGGGAGGGGGGTAGGGGTCGGGCTAAGGGAGAGAAGGCGAGGAGGACGGGGAGAAGAGGAGGAGGAGAAGGAGAAGGAAGGAAGAAGAGGAGACGGACGTACTCTCGACGGGGCCTAAACTCTCACCCCGAAACGGCGTTCGTTGGTGGTTGGCGTAGTTAGTTGTGCGTGAATGTCTGAAAGTGGTATGTGGAACGGTAGGCGAAAACGGAACACTCCCACCTAACTTGCGGGCTACTTAGGGTTTCGTTGAGCTTTGTGGGGTTCTTTTCGTGCACGCGCGTCGATGCGTGATGCTACTCCGCGCTTTGACAGAGTCACTGAAAATTGATTCGATGATGTGTGGATGATATACTTACAACAACGTTGTCAATGCTGGCATGTAAGGTGCAAGTTCGCACACTGCTGTTGTCATCACTGTGTGCGACAGGTTGAACAGGTTTGAGTATTTGAGTTGCATTATTGAACGAATATATTACTCGTACATACAGTAGTAGTGGGTAATGAACAAGAGTATAAAAACATGCGGAACAAACGAACAGGAGACAAAAATTCTAAAGTTGGGCCTTCTCCGTGGGGGCGGGGTAAGGACGCACCCACTTCAGACCGCGGAGGTATGGATGTGTCGTTGAGTTTTTACCAGATAGTGCCTAGCTAGGTGTGCGGGATGACTTTTGTTTTGTCGCACACGCTTGCCTCCGCCATTTTTTTTTTCAGCCGCGCAGCAAATCAAAGAGAGAGAGCAGTGAGAGGATGGGGGGAGACCATCCATCCTCATCACGGAAAGAGAACACAAACGGACAGAGAACACTAGCGGGCTCTCGCAAACGCCGATTTACCGACCACGGTTAATTCGGTCTATACGGCCAGTAGCAACATTATGAGAATATCCTATGGGACAATTGGTCCTATGCATACCGCGATAAACAACCCGCGGGCAGGTGCTGCCTGTTTACATATAGTGTTGCATGCATGTCTTTTCTGCGTACCGGCATCAATTCTTGGGTTCATCCCATTTTGCAAACGGACGGCCAAGAAGAAGGGAAAGCAGTGAGTTGGCGTCAACTCTCGTCGTGAGGAAAGACAGACCCCGTTTGAGGGAGGAGTAATAGCCTGATCTGCGCGTCTACTTTACATCGTACACACGTCGGGTGAAAAGCCCCCCAGTATATTAGATCGAACAGCTTGGAACTACTGTACAGCAGCGACCTAACAAACCGCGGGGGCAAGTCTAGCCTTTACATTGTTGTACATACGAAGTACCAAGTAATCAGCCTTGACAACTTTCCACCTCCAGCGACAGGGGGCGTATCTCACGCAAATACACTCGAACGAAGAGTTTTCGTGTTTGTGTTAATTTTTCTTCACACCGCTTACAAGTAACTAACCTTAGGATAAAGCTTTTCGGTGGGCATGTAGCGTACGCTGCACGTACTGCCCCTACGCGGCCCCAAAACAAACCGCACTACTGTTGTACACTGCTTGTGAGCTGGACTTGTTCATCTGCCGAACCCCAACATCAGCCAGGCAGGGATCCTCAAATCTTCCAATTTGAATTTGTCGACTTTTTTGGTCCTACATTTGTATTTGCGCTTCTTCCCTCCGAACCTCCTACAGCAGTACCTACAGCAGACCTGGTCCACGACGCCGTTGAACGTGACGTCGGGCTCGACCGTCAGCTCTCCAAGAACCTTCAGCGAGAAGTTCCCGAATTCTACCGCGGCAACGGTGGCCTTGAGCGTCATGGAGTTGCGCACAGGGAAGCGGGTGTACTCGTCGCAGGCGAAGGTGCTGGTGTCGATGGTAAGGCCTGTGACCTGGGTATCGTCGACATCCGCAAGGTCAGCACATGTGGCGACGGTGTATTCGACCGCCGCAGCTGGCGCTGCCAGAAGACCGGCGATGAGCGTGAGAGAGCAAGGCTTCATGGTATATCTATTTAGTGCCCAAGGTGAGAGAGAAGAAAAGTGGGCCGTTGGGGGCTGGTTTGGCCTTCGGGAAGGGATAACTTTATTTTTTTCTTTTGAAATGTTTCTTTCCTTGATGATTGGCAGCAGAGATATCCCGTGACAGTCTCGTAAAAAAAAGCGTCATTTTTCACACACCTCATCCCGTACAACATGCAAAGATCTTCTTTACAGGGTACTTGAACACGTGCCTATTCAGAGGGCTACCTGAGAGGACAAGCCCTCTTTAGGTGTTGTGTGTGCACTCCTCTCTGGTAGTGGGAATCCGGTTTCCATTCCTCTACCATGTAATACAAGACTTTTCCCATCTCGGCCCTCGCCGAGCTGCGTTTCTCCGGCGACATGTAGTCTAGACTACACGCATAAACACCGTTGTAACAACCAATGTACAAGCTTCGGCCTACATCAGTACAGGTCTATCCACGGCCGTGCCCTCATACAAAATTATACACTCGCGCGCTTTGCGGCAAGGGGATTCAAAAGCATACGCCTCTCTCATGGAACGAATTTCATGTGAAGGAGGTTCCGCAGTGTTCTTGCCGATACAGAGGAAACATAGCATATACATTGTATTTGTCTTGGCGATCGAGGCACCGACAAATGTTCCGTCCGGAGAGGGCTCATGAGAGCATAGAGTGTCATGATGGAAAAACGACACAATAAAAACAGGCAGCAGGACCAATGCCCACAACTGGCTGCCAGCTGCCAGTTCGTTGTGACGTTTCCCAATCTCAACAACAGCTGACAGCTGACAGCTGACACAGCTGACGTGTCTTGCCTCGAAGCCCCGAAGAACCCCGCCCGGTGAACCTCAACGAACCAAAAAGGAACTTTGTTTCTCCTGTACTAACATATCCGCCCCCTCTTATCCCCTTCTACTGTGGGGTTGTCTCGAACGGGTATATAGTTTGTGATTGTAAACTCTAATAAATGAAAACTTACATCCGCACTTAATCAGTTTTTACGCGTCCAAGAGAAGCAATCAATCGAGTAGGGCCGTGTAAGAATACAATCGCGAGAGAAAATGAAATGAATCAGGGGATGATGTGGTGTATTGAGCCATTTTGCACGGGGCTGAATCTTTGATACGCCGGCGCATTCCAACCCATCTTGCCTGCGCGGCGTGCAGCTTTTCCCACCGAAATGGTTAGGTAGGGTGTTTTTGCGTCATCTTCGAAGCAAACAACTACTGATTGGTCATCGTGCGTGTAGACGTGTAGTCTAGACAGCAAGCAGCCTGTGTTTTTCGAACCATATAAGACCCGTTGTCTACAGCAGACTACTCCAAAAAATAAAAAAAATCTCAACGACCGGTTTTTGCTCAACGATCGGGAGCGACCGTCAAGTGATGACGACGTGACTCAGTCGTTGCTCGCATCAATCAGACAAAGCTGTCATCGGTTCAACTCCTCTACAGCGATGTAAAGACCCGCCCGTGAGCTTCCGATGCACCTCTATTTAGCTTACCCACACGGAACACAGCCCTACTTCTCGCAATCGACCTACGGAAAACGCGTTGAAGAAAAGAACCACAGGTGCGGGAGGTGGTGTACACTGCAGGTAGGCAAAGCGTAGCTTCCCGTTGAATCTGCTTCTCTTTTTGCCAGTGAAGTTGACAGCAAGCACTACGTAAGAGTGGGTTCATTCTGCACGTCAAAGCCGTATGGACACATGCCTGCTATTCTGTGATCTAACAAGTCTCAACCCTACACTACTACGTACTTTTCTGCCGTGGCGCCACACTCACTTACACAATCTCAGAACAACAATGGTATTCTTCAGTTCTTGCCTGGTGGTGGCCATGCTTACCAGTGTTGGGCCTGTCGGGATGGCAGTGCAGAAGGTACTGGAGGTATGCCTCCCCAAGAAGAACAGGTGAGAGATTGCCTTCAGTGCTGACATCCACGAGCAGTTTCGAAGAAATAGTGTAGATGATGTTGTCCTGCACGCAAAACATCCTGCCGCACCATGCCCGTCAAATCAAAAGGAAGATGTTGTAAGTAGGACAGTAGTTCCCGCTGTGGCGAGAAATCGGTCAAATGGTCCTCAGTGCAACGATCTTGAAAATCTGCTTTAGCAAACACAATATTATTATCTACGCACATGTGACCTTGATTGACTTCGGCAGGGAGAACGAGGCTGAGGCTGAGGATGACTGTGACCCTCAACAGGCAGTGGACGAGCAGCGGCCGAACCTGGTTCAAGTTGAAGACTCAAATACTACGTCGAACAGGTTGGCGCCGGTGGTTTTGTGTGCCTCAGTGCTTGTACAAATATACCCCATCGTCCCTCTCGGAAGACGCTTAGTCTACACTCCCTGTCCTGATTAAATGAGGTCGTTACAGTATAGGGGAAAAATCGATACGTACGCCCCCCCCCCGCCCCCAAGGACACCCCCCCCACCCCACCGGAGACCTCCTCCGACCGAGAGATTTCTTTCCGGAACGGACGCCTACGCAGGAATCTAAGAGTATCTTGAAAAATAATTGGGAGGGCACACGCAGACCCTATCCCTAGCCCTCACCCTAACCCCAAAGCACGGATTGAACACTTTATCCCATATGTTTGCTTAATCAATTTTGCTGCGTAGAGTACTGTCGGGAACTGTGTGTAATGGGGATCACAGTCCCCCTGAAATCGTTGTCATCGAGGAACCCAAAAACAATTTGGGGCAAAGAAACTATAGTTTGACACATTCCGAACACTAAAACAAAGGACGAGCGAGTCCTTAACGTAGACCGGAGCATTGGTTGGACCGTGCAAAAACAACAATCCAGAATAACTCAAGAACAGAGCACCACAATGGTATCAGCATTGCTGACTAGAAATAGAACGAAGGTACAATAGGTAGTTGGCCTTGTGTGAGACGAATGGCCACACGATTACTCACAGCTGTACACTAAGCCCGTAATATTGTTTCTGTGCTCATCCACAGGAGGGTCATGATCACGAACGGAAGACTCAACCGCGTACTCAACTCGAGCACCAAGATGCTCATGAAGATGCCACGGACCCGCGATCTGGTGCTGCGCTTGCGCAGCAAGGACCCGGGTGAGAATTAATTTTAATGGAGCATGAAAAAATACTGACACTAGACTTGCTAAATGCTGTGTTTTCTCGTGCTCGTTGTTGTAGTTGTTTTCCTCTCGTTGCATGTGGTCGTCGTTTGGTTTGATACTTATTTATTTTGTGTTATCTCATGAAAACGCTGAAGAGGTAAGAAGATGAAGATCAACTTCAGATTGTCCCTCTTGTAGGAAATCTCAGAACCTTGTCTTCGGGCAGGTTTCGAGAGATCTGGCGAGTTTGGCGGAATACTACGTAAATATACAAACCTGTTTCGCATCTGAATGCCCTCTAGAGGTCAGCAGATTTGAACAGACAATCACCCTGATGTACCACTCATCCCGCATGCCATCGCTACTTCGTCGTTGATGGCGGCCACGACAGATGATGATGTTGCGGCTCGCAATGTAGCCGCCGCAAGGACGGCTTTCGACGTGGCCAAGGACATGTGGTGTGCCGCCAAGGAGGCCCTTGAGGCAGCCATCGATGACAAGAAAAAGAATGGCGCCCGTAAGTCGATAGCCAGCTGCGAGTGGAATCAGGAAGATATGGCGTTGTCTGTCGACCCCCCACATTTCGCGTTGAAAACAATTGGGGGAGGTCCATGAAATACGCAAGAAGACAAGATGAAGACAACCTTCAATCACTATCGACGTCAAGCCTTTGAAACTCGCTTCATCATCCACGGCAAGCGTTCTCGGCCGACGCAATAACTCCCGTGCTTTTTGTGTCTCCCGGTAGAAAGACGTTGGCCGTTCTCGCAACTGAGCTTCACGTCAGTAAGCTCCCTGCTTTTTCTGGAGAAGAATACGATAATATCATCAGACTGTCTTGGACCTGTCAACCGGATGATCAAACACAGATTCCCATCAAGAAAAAACGTGATGGGGCACTTGCGTCTAAGTTTCGTTTCAATTTAGGGCATGTTCCAACACGACGGATACCTTCCTACGCCAATAACACCATTTGCTGCCGGATGTATCGTTTGGTCTTTTTGTTGTTTCATCAGGCAACGGAGGCGAGAACAACAATGCCCTTCACGAGGAGGAGGATGCCGAAGAGAGGGTCACGATGGCAGAGCAGGTGTTCAACGTCGCAGACAGGGCGTTTCAGAGCGCAAGCAAGGTGTTCATCGAAACGCAGAAGGTCGTCGAGGAGAAGAAGATGGTTGATGCCCTGGCATGGGCCTTTGAGGTGGGAATACCCAACTCTCACAACAACGATAAAGGAGGGGGAAAAGGAGTTGGGAAGACTCCTGCGGGGGGAATGATTGATGAAAGGATCTCATTTCCCGTCAGGTCAGGGTACATTTCCGAAAACAGGGTACAGTTGTTGAGAAAAGTGGTCACGGCAGGGTATACCCTGCGCCTTTTCGGAAGTATTTACCGGGGTGAAATTGGGCGCTGACCAATGATATCAGTGCATTTTACTGCTGTTAATGACTGTGTACCCAGGTGTTGTCGCTTTTCGACCAGGGCATACCCTGTTGTGTCGTTTCCCTATGTGCGATTGCGACCTAGGTGTGCATGGCGTTTTTTATCGTTTGGTGCAAGTTTTCAACAAGTTTCGAAATGATGAGAAAACAAGCCCCCCTTTACAACAAATCGATGGATCGATCGATCATCCCCTATATTTGAAACAATAGTTCGAAGTGATGGCGAGGACTCTTGGTGATGGATCCTTCGGGAGGGAGATCGTGCAGCCGGAGAACCTCGCGGCGTCGGTACCGTACCGCTATGCTGTGAGTGTGTTTGTGCGAAACTCGGAGAGTGCATGAGGTATTAGGGGGAGCTGTTAGTGAGGGTGCAAGGGGCATGGCTACCCAACAGAACATCGTTCAAAAGGGTTGTGAACGATCATCTGTATCCACGTGTGTACGATGGCGATGGTCCCTTAGAACAAAAAATGGCTCGACAAGTAAACTCATGGACATTCCCTGCCCCCGTTTTCCTGTCCCGCTCCGTGGGTGGCCTCAACTAACCTCCGCCTCTAACGCTGGTGCTTTTTGCCGCTGGCCCTGCCAATACATGAAAGGTGTGCGGTTGGCTGCAGGCGTGCCTCTGCCAGCCCCGTCACCTCCGCCCAAGCATGGCGTCCTCGGTCAACATGCTCACGTGCCTCAAGGAGAACAGGGAGCCGCCTCCGATGGCAATGCTGTTGTACATGTGACAGACCAAAGGGCACAGACGATAATAGAAAGGATGAAGAAGAAGCGGGGAAGGCGTTAATGTGGGTAGACGTACACCCCCCCCACCCTTTCATTGACGTGGTGACCCACCACCCTTTTGGGTCTAATTTGTCGCTCTGTCTGGGCCACTAACCCGTGTTTCACATTGAACATGTGTTCCCCTCGAGGAATGAGTATTGAATCATTTCGTGTTGTACCACGACTTTGCTATTCTAGAGTGGCAGCAGCAGGGCGACAAGGTTAGACAATCTGAATGGAACAGAGGTGTTCGAGAGGGAGAGGGGGGCGGGGTTCGTCTGTGTACGAACACACCTCCACCTTATTGCTGCACAAGATAGCTGAAGTTGGTGCCCTTCTTGGCAGCCGTGCGCCCATGGTTGATATGGAGCAGTGTGATGATATTTCTGAATAGAAAACTTGGCCCTGCTCCCGTGGACAGGGGAGGTGCAATTGTCTGTCATATATACGCACGCGGGAGGAAGGTATCTCAACTTCACACCTCTCTCTTTGCTTCGAACGAGTTAGTTGTTGCGTTTCTGCTTGGGTGCTTGGCATGAATGCGCTCGGTCATCTTCCGGAGTGACACGTTGCGAAGAATGGGAACGAAGTTGGGTTGAAGTTTGGATCATGGCACGAACACGCATGTGTATTTACGTGTGTGGAATTCTCAGAGAGCGGCGGCGATGAAAAAAGGGCAATGCACCGAGAGTGTTCCCCGCACAAATGGCAGAGGGCGGTGTCACTGTTGCATTTCTTTCGGTGTTCCGATAGCTGTGCTTGTGGGCCTTCCCGGCCCCCTTCTCGGCCTGTTGTCCTCCAAACAAGGGAAGTTTCCGCCCACACCTTGTTTGGAGGTTTTTTTCTTCGTGTTGAACCATAGCCGTGTCGTGTCGTAGGTGGGTGTATGTAAGGACGAGGAGAGGCTGGTCGGGTTTTGTCTTTCTTCGGGCGCGTGTCGTCCACGTTGTTGTAGGGTTTGGTGCCACGTTTGAGTGAGATCGCGACTTGTGATGAGTTTCTGCTACTGTTGGTCATCATCGGACCCTTCTCGCATGCTGTTGGCAGCATGTGTTCGTTGTTGCTCCCGCCCACACGCACTGGGTTGCGTCTAATCTTGAACTTACGCGGAGCCTTCGGTTTCGTTTGAGGACTTGCCCTCTGTCTTTGTTCGCGTGACGTGCGGGCTAATGGCCCTACCCTTCGCTTGGGTATTCCTCGTTTTACGCCCCACTGGTCACGGGATGTGTCAAAGACGTTGGACAAACCAGACCGCGGATTCTTGGTGCAGAAGTTGTATCGGGTGCACGTATCATCAAGCCTTGATCGACTTTTCGCCGTTACACGAGCGAGCGGTGTACAGAGTCGAGTGCTTGTTGCAATGGCCATGTTTCTTTGGCAGTTTTCAGTCCTGGTTGTTGGCGGTGTTTCCACAAATAAATTTGTGATTTTTCGTTCGAGGCCTTGGTTGTCGAATCATTCGTGCTTTGGCCTCTGCCAGTTAGTGAAGTGAGGCTTTACTTGTTTAAGATTTATTGTGCATAAGTTCAAGACTTTCTTGCGAAGGTTGGATACCATACCCTTTTAGCGTGCCGCTAGTTTTCTTCACATGAATACAAAACATCATATCGTCCTATCTGCGAAAACGCTCAAAGCGTTCAACAGCACGAGACACATCACCCCGGCTGGCGAGGCAGATGGGTATGCGAGACAGCCAGGAGATCTCGTGCCCATCCAAATAGACCGCGAAATAGCCTACACAACGGTGAAGATGAGGAAATTCAACGCGTACCACCGACCGACCGGCCACCATCCACCTGTTTATGATGTACCATGGTACTACTCTGAACAATACGGCAAAACTAGGGTTACACCCAAGAGTCAGCGCTGTCAACACTCGCAGCCGGTTTCCCTCCATTCACTGTAAAGACTTCAACACATCCCGTTCGACAATGGTCTTATCTCGAATGGGTATAGTCTTCTGTGTTTGTATTTATGTTTCCTAATGACGTAGACTACACATTAGTGGCGCAGAGCTGGTAAGGAGAACGTAGGGAGGGTTTATGCGTGTCCCGGCTTGCCCAGGCCTGGAAATAGCGCGCCGTTGCAATTTGCCACGGGGTCGATGATTTTGCATGGCTCCTCGTTGGTGATCTTCACTTCTTTGTTGTTTTTTAGTAGTTGGGGTGCCGTGATACGATTCCGTATCCTATTGGGTACAGGCTGATGGAGGCAACACTGAGGTTAAGACAAAGGTGCGGCGACATCTTCGTGCAGCACCGCTCCTTGTCTGCTCCAAACGTCAACGCGTTCCTCTCTAATTCCTACCCTCAGAGGCCTACCGCATTCTACCGTTGGCCCATCGATTGCGACAGCCATTGACCTCAAGAGAGACTCGAAAGACGACGGACTACTGTAGCCTACATTCACCATTCGGAATTCGCCTCCTTTGGTAAGCCCTCTGACACAGCCCTGGCTAGATTTACAGCTCTCATCACCTGTGATTGAAATTGTGCACGACACAACCACAGCTGCTCTTGTGAGCGAGCGTGCGGTCTACGGCACGAATCTCGTTCAACCCTCCCAGCTTCATTGCGATTCCTGGGTCGTGACGTCAAGCATGCTTTAGTTTGGCAATAGCCCCCGTCTCTACACACGCCATTAAGGGTACCCGTCAATTTGAACCCCCCGTCGTACCCTACCGGAATACGTGCCAGATGCAACAAAATTGTACGGTGGACAACACATCAGATCCCGGATGTTGGGTCTCTGTTCATCTTCCCTTGGTGAACACGCTCCCCCCGAGGGTTGTTATGACCAAACCTTGCCCCGGTTTACACCGAGACATCCCTACAAGCTGCCCAGGGTTGCCACGACACCCGGCCTTTTAGCAGTAATCTTGCGGTCGAGTCTCCTTCTTCCTATTCCTACCGCTTCAGGTATCTACCCTAGCTGCGACAACAAACGCACCTTTTCAGCCCCGAAAAGGCCCAACACTTACGTTTGAGCACACGCCGTTAAGTGTTTCACTGCCCCTCTACTGTTCCATGTCCCTGTGATCTGGCGTCAAGACCACCGGCGTCGCACAAACATACGAGTTGCCCGGGCCCCCACCGCGCACTCGCCCCTTGTCTGCCAGTGCGCGACAACGCCCATGGTCTGTGAGTACGCGACACCGCTGCAGCAAGCCTGTCAGGGCTTCCATTGCATGCCCCCCTTCCTCTTGCGCTTCTGGTCGTTGTAGGCTGCTTTTCCTCCTGCCCTCTTTCTCGACTGAATGGAACCGTATTGGTTTTTGGAGTACGCCCTGTTGCGTAGAGTCCGGATTACACGTTTAGCTTAGGATAAGGAAAAGGATAAGGGCCAGATTTTATGTTGCTAGGGAAAAATATTAAGGGAAAGTATGGGTTCACGGGGTTCCTCGGAACAGTCCTCGGGCTTGTCGTCCGGTTCGTTTCGTTCACGAGGTGCAGTATTCGGAGGAGAGCAAAAGTGCTTGCGTCCAGGCCAACCTCAATCTGATTGGGGAGATCGGGCTGCACGTTCTCGCGAAGGGAAGGCAGGCACAACACAAGGCAACGGCATCACAACGACATGTAACCGTTGTTTTGAAAGGCGCCGTCTGCCACGAGCAGCCTCGCTGTTTGGTGTTTGGGCTGGTCAACACTGCACCATAGCTATTGGTAGGAAGGTATTCCTTTTCGTTTCATTTTGGGCCCCGTGTTGGCCTCGTGGGTAGCATTCGTACATTACAAATCACCACAAAAAAAAAACAACTACAACGTGACACATGAAAAAAACGCAGTGTTGAGCATGCGCAACACGAACGCAACAAGACCTGACTGCTGTTCAAATAGCAAACATAAACCTACACCACACAAGACAGCAAACCTCTCGCTTGCACGTACGCGTGGTGTGTGGACTCGTCAGATGCTGTTGCGTGGTATCTACAGCTAGTACCTGAAAGCGTCATCGGCCACGAGAAGCTCGTCCACCAGGGTCTTCTTGCGCTCCTTGTTGGTCATGCGCGAGGAGAAGTACTCCGAGGGGCCCTCCTTCACGGTGCCGATCTGTTCGCAAGGTGCCATCATCAATCACCATCCCCGAGGGCAGGAACATCACCAACGAGTGAGAATGAAGAGGCGAGCGGTGGCAGTGGCAGGGGGAAGGGGCCGCGCGGTGGTCAAACGGGAGACTTGAACGGGGAGCGGGCGAGGCCTGCACCGGAGGCCCTTGAGCATTTGCGGACATCTATAGCCTGCATCTATAGCCCGCTTGCTGGCGCCTTTTGACGGAGGAGACATAGAAGCGTCGAACCGACACACCGGCGCAGGCGGCCTGCATACCCGCCCCAAATACAACGGTCTTGACGAAACAAAGCAATAATTTCATCCAGATGATACCGCCGAAGGCTCAAACACACGTTCTTTTCGGGCTAATTCGTCATGTGGTGTACAACCCAAACAAGGTGCGCGCTATATGTAGAATCCCTAACACCTGAAGGAGGGTAGTCAGAAAAAATGTTGGTAGGAGTTCCGAGCGAACAACCTGGAAGGTAGATACTGGATGGCTAGCATGCTTACGTTTCCAGCGACAGGAAAAAAAAGCAGGCTCGACCAAAAAGAAACGTGGTATTGAGCAAGCACGCCGCCTTGCTAACACGCCAAGGTAGGACGCGGTTCGTGGTACTGCCGAAACCAAGCTGATACGTGGGTTTTGGTGGATACTCGTCCACCGATATAGAGGAAAACACGTGGTTGTTCCCACTTTTTTACCTGCATGAACTTGGAGACCTTGTCCGAAGCCTTGTAGAAACGCTTCGGATCCACGTAGTTCCGCATGCGAATGACCTGTTTCCCGCCCCGCCCGAGCCCCGCCCCCCCCCACCGCCACGATAAAGCAGAAAAGAAAGGGAGTGTAGGTGGAGTGCGTTGGGGATATGCAAAATTGAAACAAGACACAGGAAAGAGTCTTCGACAAAGAGAAAACCGGCACAAGCAAAAAACACAAAAACTTAAACGCAGCGCGTAGACTAATCTGGCAACATGATAGCTAAACATGCTGCGTGCCCGCCACTACCTTGGAGAAAGAGACGGCGGGGATGGAAGAGAGATCGCTACCAACTTCACTCAACGGCAGTGGCACGCCTACTATTTAATACTTGCAGGGGGGGTGGTGGTGGTGAACGGTGGCACGCACAATCGCGTTTTGTGATTCGACAAATTGGTATCCGAAAAGAAGTAAGGGAGCACGGAAGATGAGGGCATCTGCAATATGTATGCGGAGACTCTCGATGCACCCCGTTCACCGCGTGAAGCACTCTTGGCACCGAGCAAGAGAGAGAGGGCGCATGGCTCGAAGGTGCTTGGGGATGCAGGAAGGTACCATATGACGACAACTAGAAGCAGCAGCCGAATTCCACGCACCTGCACAACTACGCTTGAGCTCCACGCACCTCCTTCACATGGCAATGTCTCGTACACGATGTTACTCCATTTGCAAACAACCTGCTACACCCCTACAATCATTGCCACGAGACGAAAAGTGGATCTGTGTAGACAAGCAACGAACCACCACCAACGACAACAAGACAACCCCCCGCGACCAGCTTCCTGCACCCCCCACCTGCAGGTCACGCTTCAGCTCCGGCGTCATCTCCGCTTGCTCCATGTTGAACCAACCCTTTCCAGCCGTGTCGTCCTTTGGTGCCTTGCTCCTCTCCAACAGCTGTTGTTTATCGCATGCACACGTCAAACAAGCCGGGTAAAGGGGGTGCAAAAGGGAAGGAGGAATTTGTATCCGACATGCCATTCCCCCCTGTTGCCGCCTACCGGTTCTCTCGCTTTCTTCTTCAACGATTGTTGCAGGGCATAAATCAGACACAACGACGGAGCCCCACGCGTGCACACACACATAGATGGCTGGGAAGGCGCGACGGGAGGATATGACTGATGGTCTTGCCACGTGTAAGCCATACCAGAAGAAGGGCTCGGTTCATAGCCAAACAGGCTCACCCAACAAGCATTTGCTATACGTCTGACTTGTTCTCAGATAGTGGCGGCCGACGGGAAGCAGCCACACGCACACACACAGCGGAGGAATAGGCGCAAGGGGCGGGCGCGATGTTGCCAACCGGGGGGAAAGAACGGGGGGAGAGTGTCACAGTTCAATAGCAAACCCTGTTCGTTCCGGCATGCCTTCTTCCCGCTCTCAAAACATAGTGTACAACGCAACATGGTAGGGATAATGTAGGCAACAAACATCATACCATCCACGGCACCACCGCTGCCGCGGGAAAAAAGCGTCATACGAAGGGCTACCACACGGCACGCACCATGGCTCTGTCGCGGCCGCTGTAAAGAGAGCTCCCCGCCATGAGCTTGGCTGCCTTGCCGCCGTCCACCACGCCCGACGACACAGAGGCCTGATAAAAGCAAGACAGGGAGGGGGGAGCAGCGTCGGAGGAAAATCGGAGGAGTCACAAAAAGACAACATGTCACGGACGGGGGGAGGGGGGGGGGGGGGTGTACTCATAGTCGTGCATGCCGTAGTCGTTTGACCATTGACCTCGCATCCCTACAAAGCCGGGACGGAGCACGCCGGGTTCTCACCGGACCAGGCTCTCACATCACCAAGCGCGAAGCGCCGTGAGGTATTTGGCGAGTCGCATGAAGGGTGAGCTGCATCCTGCTAAGGGTGTTCGGCATCTTGTGCTTACTTCCTTGCGTACGGATGACAGCTACGTATGACTTAATTTATTTTCTGGTGCTTTCACTTCCAGAGACAGTTGTAAAGCACTGTGTAACTGCCTCGAGGAAGCTTGACCATTTTAACACAACGTGGTGCGATCATCCCCCGTTGCGCGGAGTGAGGATTCTCCACCACGCACAACATGATCTACTCGACCACCATTATGGTTACCGCCAAAAAAAAAACCGAGGTAAAAAAAAAAACGGTAACCTGGTTGCCGAGTTCACGAAGTGAATTGGCTTGTTTTACAACGTCGTTGCCAAGCGACGAAAACCCAATCCCGATGGCAAACACCGAGTGGGGGGCTTGTTTTACAACGTCGTTGCCAAGCGACGAAAACCCA